GCCGGAGTGGTTGTAAACTGTCTAACACAATGATGATACGTCTCGAATAGCGCAGCAGAAATCTTTGCCTGTGGGCCTATTATATATAATTATTGTTCGTGCTAGCAAGGTTAATCCGTCAGCATTCGGTCTCTCGCAAAATGATCGCTCCACATTTCTCTACAGGCGGCGCATGCGTGCGTGCATGTATGCGTGCGTGTATGCGTGATACAATACATTATATCTTGAAATCTTGAATCTTGAAAAATCTTAAAAGAGATTGTGTGGAGTATAATCGAAGCAGCTAACCAGTCTTGTTTTCACACCTCCTTCCCAGCTAAGCGCATCAGCATCCAAGAGCCAGTACACTTAGCAGGGCTTAGGCATACACTCAAACGAGATACTGTTCACCAACTAGTGACGCTGACGTCCCGGCTCAGCAGGGGCGTGTTCAGGGGGGGGGTCCAGGGGGTCCGGACCCCCCTGCTCGCGCAGAAAACGCATCTGAGGGGGTCAAATTTCGAGTCCCCCCCCCTGGTACAAATCCTGTACACGCCCCTGCTCAGACATCCATTAATCATGTACTTATCCCAAGTGGTATAATTTTTTTAAATGAGCATGTATTATTCAGATGTCATTCGCCGATCCGTGGTTTTTCACAAGTGGCAGCAACCGGGCCGCTCACTCTTAACACTAATCACATTTCGTTGGACAACATGTCTGAGATGCAACCTATCAGAATTACCATCTCATTATTCAGATGTTACCCAAACGCCCGACTCGTAATCCGATTTGCATCGAGCATGTCACAAATGCTACGTTCGTTAATGCTTAATTGAAGCATTTGGAAATTGAGAACTTTGTACCCAAGGCCATCCCCTCTACCCGCCTCTAGCCAACAACATATGCCCACGCAAGCATAAATGTATTCATGCAGGTGTTTGTCTCGGCATACATTAGAGAAAACGATGCGTAGATGTATGCGTCACCAACAGAATCTGTCTCTTCAAAGTTCTATTATGTCACCACGAACGTGTACGAAACACCGACGACGACGACGACGATGACGATAACGATTACGATAGCTTGACAGCGACAGCGCGTGCGTGTGTGCGCGTGCAATTACGACAACGACAACGGCGACGAAAGCGACAGTGTGTCGACGATAACGCTTGTGGCAATGTAACGGGGTTGCTACGCCAGAGCGAATATATAATATAATCAAGCTTTATTTATCAATTATTAGCTCTTGATATAATTTAGGATTTAGAATAGAAAACTCACAGTGTGCAGCCAAATATTTCAAGACCACGCGCATCAAATAGTCTTGACTTCGATCACGACTTCCAAGCGACTCACCGACTTCTCCCTCAAACAAAGTACTTACACTCCCATTACGTTACCCATGTCCACATATGTCATATATGTCACCCATCCTTCACCGTCTCTGTTGCTAGAAACCGTCCGCACCCTACCGATCAAAAGCTCATTGTTAAATGACTCGTGTTGCTGACTGAATGAGTGGTCTCTACTCGATACTACCTCTCGTCTGCTGCATAAGGCTCCTATGTCCCCCAGGGTACTGCCGGAACGTACCCTGGGTACGGTCCGGTGGTATACCGGAATGTACCCTGGTCACTATTTGATATGGTTAGGGTTAGGATTAGGGTTAGGGTTAGGGTTAGGTAGTAGGCGTAGGCGACTCCCTAGACTCGTTAGTGGAGTAGGCGAGGTACGGCCCGGCATATTAGATAGTACCAGGGTACGTTCCGGCAGTACACCGGGGCACATAGACCCTCTCAGCCTAAATAAGCAACCGCCAGAAAGCCTCTAAAGACTACGTGTGTGAAACATATGCTACAGAGGCGACATCGAGGTGGAGGTAACCTAGACTGACTCCAGGCTAGTTCCTGGCCACCGTCAGCTTATGCATCAACGACTCGATGCGTCAGTCTAGAGGTCCCGACTCCCAACAACGCTAAAGAAATTCGTCGCAATGATTACTGGCGAAACTAGGAATTGCAATCATTTTCTTTGGCAACGCATTGAATCAGGAATCGAAAACATTTGACGGTTGTGATGATTGGTTTACCCTGTAGCGAATGTTCGTTTATCGCGTTCATTCACAGGCGGAGGAGCTGTGCTTCATATCCGCCGATACAAGGCAGCGTTCCTCGGCCACACGCCACCAACATCCGCGCCGAAATTTTACACGGCGGAAATTTCGTTCGATTCTCTCCAAAACCGCTGCAAGTCAATTTGTCCAACATCTACATCTGCGCATTTGCAGATAGAGGCTAGCAGATGAGGCAACCTAACAGGGCAATTTTGCATCATACTGCCGTCTCTAAAGATACAATCTACTCTAAAGGTTGCACGCAGCAAACAAGGCACCCCCAAATAATAGCCGTCTGTAAGCCATTGGGCCATTATTAAGCTCTGGGCATAGACTGTCGCTGTCATCTTCGCACTCGCGCGCAGTGATGATCACGTGCAGTCACAGCGACAGTCTCAGCGAGACATAACCTCTGGCATTTAGCTAGAAATGGCGTAAATTTCAGCTATAGGCTATTAATTCTTGCTCGTGCAGATGTAACGTTGATTTCGAGAACGAATTTAAAGCACAGCCAGACCCACACGTATTGATTTTACGGTCCGTATGTCAATTAATAAGCATTATAAAGGCCAGCGAAACACTTAGTGATCTATGTGCGGAGGATATGAGGCGGGCGCCCCAACATTTCACTAGGCTTGCCACGCTCATTAAGCCTTACCACCCAGCAGTTTGCTGTAATATTCCACTCGGCACATTTTCCCTCTGCCAGGCATGATGAACAGCTAGATTCGGCACTAATTGTGTGCATTTGTGCTGGCAACGTGGACCGCGGACTGATTGATGGCATGGCAGAATGCAATCTCTCACATAGCAGCTATCTCTAAGCTGTTGTAACCGCTGATGAATTTCTCCCTCCTCTCCCGCTCCGGTCGAACACAGGGACTTTATTACTCAAGATATTTTGGGCGGCTAGCTAAGAAATAAAGAAAGAGAGATAGAGAGAGAGAGAGAGAGAGAGAGAGAGAGCGAGCGAGCGAGCGAGCGAGCGAGCAGAGAGAGAGAGAGAGAGAGAG